CGGTACACAACTTTGAATTTTCTTCATAGAAAACATATATTTGAATTGGTTGCTTTTTTAACTTACTAAGTTTGATGCTTCATGTCAGATTCATTGACAAAGCAGCAATTCTGACCCCACAAGACCAGATAAACCCTAATGGATCACCAGCTGATCCATGGAGACTCTGCAGCTTGCAGCAAGTGGAAGAAGTAAAGTGCCTGTTCAGGGTGTTTCCTATATGGGCATCAGCAATTTTGTACTATATTGTTATAGTGCAGCAGAATACTTATGGAGTCTTCCAAGCAGTTCAAGCCGACAGACGCCTTGGAAGCAGCCATTTCAAGATTCCAGCAGCAACATTCACTGTGTTCCTGATGCTGGGCATGACCATCTTCATACCTATCTATGATAGAATCCTTGTTCCATTTCTACGGCGATTGACAGGGAAAGAAGGCGGGATTACGATCCTCCAGAGAATTGGCATTGGCGTATTTCTTTCTGTAGTCTCCATGCTTGTATCAGCATTCGTTGAAGAACGGAGAAGAACTATAGCCATTACAAGACCAACTCTAGGGTTTGTGCCAAGAAAGGGCGCAATTTCTTCCATGTCAGCCTTATGGTTAATCCCTCAATTCACCCTGGCCGGACTCGCGGAAGGGTCTGCTACCATTGGCTTAGTACAATTCTACTACAAGCAGTTCCCGGAGAATATGAGAAGCATTGCAGGCTCATTGTTTTTGTGCAACATAGCATCATCAAGTTATCTGAGTAGCTTGTTTATAGCAATAGTTCACAGGACGACAAAGCGAACTGCAACCGTGGATTGGCTGCCAGAGGATCTTAACAAGGGAAGATTGGACTACTTCTACTACATGATTGCTGGTTTAGGAGTTTTGAATATGGGCTATTTCCTAGTTTGTGCCAAGTGGTATAAATATAAAGAGAACACTGACCCCCTTGAAGTAAATGGAGAGGAAAAGCATTCTGCTCAAACTTTGGTATGATAAATTGTATCCCTAGGAGATCGAAATCATGTTAAATTACTAGAATAAGCATCTTGTGTACAATTTAGTAATAATGTTTATTACATATATACTTAGGATAACTTAAGCAGTCCATATCATAAACATTAGAAATCTGAAAAGAATCACTATTGATCACCATATAATGTGTTCAAAGGAAAGGTAGTTCTACTTTGCAGATCAAATACCATAATCGAATATTGCCATCGACACTAAATAAAAGTGAAATATTAATTCTCATTGAAAAGCTCAGTCACTGAGAAGAGAAGGTTAAAAGGCAATACTGCATTTCATTGTCATCAAGTAACAAAGGAGTTCAAAAGTTCTTATTCCCAATTATCTGGAACTACGGAAAATATATGTTTTCATGAATTCTTAATACAACATAAGAGAACTAACAGTTACTAATAGAAACATAGTATGGCTATAAAAATAGTGTGCTCCCCTTCCTTATTGCAGACATGAAGCGGGGTGTGTTGGAATTTTAAGGATCAATATATATAGAATTTAAGATATTAAGATACAATAAAATAAAATATAAATGTCATACTTGAATATTCATAATCAATAAGTTACCTAAGAATCTTCAAGGATCATCATAATTTAGAATTTCATGACAAAACTTACAAAATAAATATAGTTAGTATTAGGATTTAGATCTTCCTCTCCTTATTCAATTTCTATATGGTGAGGACTCATGGGTCATGCCACACCCTAATTTTAGAGGTAAGGTTTTTTGAATGAGAGAGGGGATCTAATTCATTATAATTATCTCTTAAGCACCCCAATTAAATAACCAATCTTTAATTTTAGACCTAATATCTATTCATATCACATCATATAAAACTGAGTTAAAACCTAGACCTATATGGATTCTATAACTTTATTAGGTTTTATCGATTTTTCCATTTGACCCAACTTTAAAAAACCAAGTACAATTAACAGAAGTCCATATAAAATTTCCAACATTCTCCCAGTTGGGCAATGCTAATTGTTTTTAAATTTTTAAAAAACATATTTTAAAAAATGACTTTTGGGTCAAACACAACTTTAATGGCCACAAATATAAATCAAAATCTCAATACAAAATTCCATTCAATGAAAATACCAATACCAAACTGTGTGGTCATTGTATCACTAGCAACATAAGACCCATCACAATTACAAGTATTAACTATCTCCACTAACATTAATTCTAATAGGTGTGATAAAGTGTAGTGTGGTTTGACATTATGTGATTCCTATAATATATAACATGTCAAAATCACAACGGTTCTTTTTATGGTTTTAAAGAAATCCTTTATTAGGATATAATCTCTTTAACACTTCCCCAAGGAAGCCTTTAAACATTATTTTGGCTTCATAGAAACCCAAGAGATAATCTCCCTCACTTTTTTAGAAAACCTTTACACTTCAAAAGAAGTTTGCACACTTCTAGAAAGCCTTTATGTTTTAAACCTTAAGATCTTATTATCAATATCTGTATGAATTCATAAAAATCATCAGTACAATGCACATGCATCGTTGTAAAATAATAAGTGATACAATAAGCAAAATAAGCTTATTATTAACAAAAAAATCAACTTCTCACACTAATTAAGAATATCTAAAAACAATTCCCATAGATAAGTAATCAAGTTAAAATCTCTTGATCAATAAATTAATTAATAGTCATAATAATGCATGATAATAGTCATTACTCATAGTTTCACCTCAATGTCACTCTAACTTATAAGGTAAAATCAATAATTAACTTTGATTTGTCTTTTCCACCAAATCCTATAAACAAGTCATCCATATAACTAACACCATCAAATACAGAATATCATAATGAAAACAATCTGATTGGAATCAAGACGACAGCATATCTACTACATCATGTGATCCATTACACACCCAAGGAGGTCCAGTCACGCGAGCTAAAGCTAAGAAGATGCGTGAAGCTTTAAATAGCCTTATTGAGTAGATATGGGTTGAAATCAACATACAACAAGCAAATCGAAGCTTGGATGATTATCAAGGCACAGTAAACATCATTCAGGTTCAAGAGAAGCTTAGTTGAGGTCATTTGTACGGAATTACACAGTTTGTGTCAAAATCGCACAATTTTGCCGCAATATATAGCAAACTGATATTTTGTGTTATTTTAGGTTATTTTTAGTGATTTTTATTTTTATTTTTTGGATTATTTTTGGGCTGAACATTTGCTTATTTGAAGCCCAATTTGTGATTATTAGGTTTAGGACTTAGGGTGTTAGTTTCCTATTCTAATTAGGATTTGTTTTCTTTATTTAAAAGGCTTGTAACCCTAATGGGTGGCAGGCATTGAATCTGAGTTTTTGAGAGACTTTTCTCTTTGGTTCGTTTTAGAACTTTACAGAACTTATCAAGATTATTCTTGTGGCGTTTTAACCTAACTTATCATTCTCGTTCTTAATCATTCAAGGGTGTGGCATCAACTGACTTTATACCTCTGGTTCTTGTTGCGTCATAGACAACGGGTCAAGGGTTTTTACCTTTGGTTCTTGTTGTGACATAAACAATAGGTCAAGGTCCTATTATAAACCTGATTTAGCTTTCTGGAGTTTAGAAATCCCTTGTCGTGCTGTGAGTCTCATTATTCTCTTTGGGGTTCTCATCATCTTGGTATCAGAGCATCAGATCCCTAAATCAGGTTTGCATATCTTTAGTTTTCAGTTTTTACATCAAAAAAAAAAAAAAATTAGGGTTCTTTTCTTTCTTGTCTGCAACTCTTTTCGTCTTGTTCTGTTGAATCTGTGTTGCTGGTTTTGAAAAAAAAAAAAAAGGAGAAAGAAACAAGCAACACAATTCTGTGGTTAGAATTCCTTATATAGAGAAGAACTCGGTGGTCAAATCCTTAAAGAAGAAGGAATCCTACTCCAGTAAAAAGTTGGAAGAAGGAATTCTACTACAATAAGAAGTTGGAAATTTTCTTTGAATTCTATTGAAACAAGGAAATAGCAATTTTGTTTATTCCTTCCTAAGTTATGAATCCTACTACATTAAGGAATAGAAATCCCACTACAATAAGGAGTTGGAAAATTTTCTTTGAATTCTATTCAAACAAGGAGATAACAATTTTGTTTATTCCTTCCTACATTAGGAATCCTGCTACATTAAGGAATAATCAAGTCAATTCCTAGTAGGAAGTGTTAGAACTGATTTGTCTTGCCAGATGATGAGAACCCCAAAGAGAACAATGAGACCCATAGCACGACAAGGGATTTCTAAACTCCAGGAAAGCTAAATCAAGTTTATAATAGGACCTTGACCCGTTGTTTATGTCACAATAAGAACCAAAGGTAAAAACCCTTGACCCGTTGTGTATGACGCAACAAGAACCAGAGGTATAAAGTCGATTGACACCACACCCTCAAACCATTAAGAACAAGATGATAAGTTAGGTTAGAATGCCACAAGAATAATCTTGATAAGTTCTGTAAAGTTCTAAAACAAACGAAAGAGAAAAGTCTCCCAAAAACTTAGATTCAATGCCTGGCCTCCATTAGGGTTACAAGCC